TTGGGTCGATATTATAGGCATGACTTTATTTCTCGTGCTACTCTTGGCTCCCCAATTCATGGGTATCTATCTCTGACTTGTAGCTGGATTCCTTCTGGTCTGCTGGATCTGGTATATTGGCGGCCTGCTCTTGTCGGAGCAATCACCAGAGCACGAGTCATGTGGACACACGGCAGCGGGAGCTACCTTCCGGGAAAAGAAGAAGCGTGGTAAGTGGCTGAGCGCCGCAGCTCGCTGAAGGGCTCGGCTGATACAGGTCGTGGGGGCTGGAAAGCTCGAGCGGACGGCACTTGGCCCTGCTGCTGTTTGTGGCCCTGCTGCCATTGGGGGTGGGCCGAGCCGCCATCCCAGTCACCAGGCATAGAAGTGCCCCTATAGGCGTTGTTCCCTACCCTCCTCCTGAGAGACGAGGAGCGGATCGGAGGTCCGAGCGGCTCTCCAGCAGGGGCTTGGGAGCCCCAACGCCCGGCCATCATCCAGGGCGGCGGGGGGACCACGACCCCGGATGGCCTCACCGGCTCGGGCTGGGCGAACAGTGGCGGTGGTGCCGGAAAGCGCTGCGGCTGCGGCTGTCTGCTTCCGCTGGCTCGGGCCTGCTGCTCGTCCCCATTGTCCGCGGGGGCGGCGGCGAAGAAGGTCCGCAGGTTGCCCTCGCTCGCGGTGCCGCGGCGCGCGCCGAAGCTGGTGTGCCTGAGGCCCCTGCGGGCCGACTGGAGGCCCATGACATCGTCCGAGGCATCGCCGCTGTCGTCGACCCACCGGGGCTGCCGCTGCCGTTGCTGCGCTTGCGTGTGTTCGGCGGGAGGGCGGCGGAGCGGGAGGTTGTCGTGGCTGCGTGGGGTGTGGTTGAGCATCTTTTGCATCAATATCTTGGGTCCGTTGTCAAGTGACCTGACGGTGCTGTTATCGGCGAGGAATGGACTGAAGCCCGAGCTGCTCCGGGGATAGAGCGCGGCAGTGTGGTCATATCCAAAAGGCGAGATCGACCACCGTCGCTGCTGTCGCTGCTGGCGTCCTGTGTGGAAACCCAATATCCTGCTGTCAAAGACGGGCGCCTCTGGCGTTCTCAAGGCGTCACCAGTGGGCCCAGGTCCGTAACTATAGCCCATACCGGCATTATTTCCACCATCCCACCTGTCAAACTCTAAAGCGCAGAACCAACGGGGCATGAGGCGCTCCGCCAGAGGATGCAGAAGAAGCGCGCAGGAGCACAAGAGGGCCACGGAGAGCTCGGCCATCATCAGGGCGGCGCGGTCCGCGTTGACCCAGGTGAAGTTGACGCCGAGGTCCACGTAGCGGATGCGGACGAATTGGAGGATGACGACGCTGGCATGCTTTGTCAGAGGCTTTTACGAAACCAAGGGTACAGGCAGGACCATGTATCGGATCACCAACGTACAAGAGACCGAGAGCGTAGACGATAGCAACAACGACGGCCTCGGGCCGGCCCACGGACATGGTGTGCAGGAACAGGGCGGGCAGCAGCAGGATGAAGAGGGCGCCGATGGCGTCGATGCCCACAAAGAAGTATCGATATGGCTGCTCCGGGATGCAGCGGGCGTCGACGGCCGTGTCCCAGAAGCCCTCGAGCGGGACGCAAGCGAATAGGTTGACGATAAACTCTGCAAAGCTGGTGACGCCGATGAAAGCCGACGTAACTAGGAACCAGCGATTCTGGCCCCAAGTGCTGGCCAGAAGCTTCTGGTATCGGAAGAGGAACGTCACCTTGGCCGTAAACAGGCCAAGGTAGTAGAATACGGTCGCGACATAGTACGCCTGGGAATCGTCGGTTAGACTCTTGGCTCGTGTCCCTGGCGAGAAGTCAAAGTGCCTGCCCACATACCCTCAGGTACAGCCGCAGCTCATCCTTGGTCAGGGTCCAGGCATGTCTGCCGAGCCCAGAGCCGATCACTCGAAGAGCGCAGCCAGTCAGCCAGAGCTGGAGACCAGATATACATCTGAGCGGCGGGACCGCCAGCTACACTTACTGAAGCACATGGCGATCCCAGTGGCCACTATGGACAGGAAAAGCGCAACGGCGAAGTAGTCGTCGATCCACAGCCGGGTCCTCCCGCACCGCCTGGCGGCGAGGCGGAGCACCAGCGCCGCGGTGGACAGCGCTACAAAGAACGCAACGGCCCCTAGGGGCACCGACTGTTTCGTAGGAGGGAGGGCGGGGATCTCGGTCGCCATTTGCCGGGTTGTATTGTCCAATTCTCAAGTCAGGTCACGATTATTTCTTTGCTTGACGAGCAAGGCATCCTGCGGCGACTTTGCCGACTTCTCATCTTGGGCCTGCGGATCGGACGACAGCTACGGTTTTTAACTACGGGAAGGGCAGCCGGATCTCTTCTTTCGCCGACCGTCCAGAATGCCTACTGCCACGTTTTCCCCTGCTCGGTTCGGCGCATGCAGAGACGGGACGGGAACAAGAGGCGAGGGGGTGGTGGCAGTACCGAGAACAAAAAAGTCTTGGACGGGACGAGAGGTGAAGAAGAGACGGCATTGATCAACCGAACCAACCACCACGCGGGCCCGCACCCCAATGAGGAAGCACCAACAATACTAAAGCCCGGAGGGCCGCAGAACGGCCCGACATGGGTGGGAGAATCCAGATGGATGCCGCGTCGAGCGTCGCAGTGCACCAGAGGAATACGTCAATGCGCCACGGTACGAACACCTGGGGTTTTTGTTTTTTGTCCGGTAGCGCTTTGATGGATGGCAGGACGGGTGGATGGCTAGGAGGAGCAGGTGGGCAGGTATCAGGTGGACGGCGTGATGGTCGCGGCCCGCGTGAGGGGCAAGGCGGGCTGAGCGTCGCGCCATCCATGATTGCAGTGTTGGGGGGTCTGGGCTGCAGGAGGAATGCACGCTGGAGGTTGAGAACAAGCACAGATCTGCCTGGACTTGGAAGCCCTGTGGTTGGGGAGTTGCATGCGGACATGCAGGGTTTTGCCTGATGGAGGGCTGCCGTCATCCGAAAGAGGGGTCGACATTTGATGTTGAGATGGTGGGAGGGGGTGGAACCAGATGAGGGAGGGTGGGAAAATCTGGGGGAACCACGATCGATTCAGTACTAAAGAAAACATGGTCCATCGGGCAGAAAGCAAAACAACCGCGCCAGCCTGCAACAGAGTGAAGAAGACAAAAAACGTTGTGGCTTGCTCCATTTGGGAATGACCTAGCCTCTGGCGCACACGACCTTGTGACGCCCTATCGGGGCGGATCTGAGATCGTCAGAGATACGTTTGTGTGCAAACCCCGGACAAGAGCAGCCACCTTTTTACCGACAGTCCGGGCGCAGGATACATACTACGGCTCAAGAGAAGGAAAGCGCCAGAGCCTGTTCCTCCCCTCTGTCGGTTTCTGTTTCTTCCTTTCTTCGCTTGGCTCTGCGATGCCGATGCAAGCGCCGTCGCTCGGCCCCACGAGCTAGACGGAGACGGTGCTAGCCAGACGCAGCGTCGGACCAGAAGAACAAGAACAAAAAAAACCCGACCACGAAACAAGAGCATGTTCGGTGGCCCAAGATACACTCAAGCGTCGAGCTAAGCAACCGCTTCGCCGTGCTTTGCCGAACTCTGTTGGCTTCGTTCTGAGGGAGCCCGCGGGCCGGGGCTAGTGACGTCTTGGCGGTGCTGGTGAGGTTTAAAAAGAGGGCGCAGGTACCTTTCATGTCCCCAGGGATGGTGCCCTAAAAAAAAGAAGACGCACCCCGGATTTTTATCCCAGGGCTTGGACGGATGCTATGAGCTTGCTCTTTTATCGACAGTATCTTTAATTTTTGCCTATCTCCCACATCCCCGAGAAAACAACAAACGCTCCCTATCGATGTGGCAGTCAAGGTTGGTGCCAGCCGCGGCTGGAGGCGGTGGGCCGCCGCCTCGCGATACAATCGATTGGCACCGCTTCCTAGTGTCGGCCACCCTCGTCCTCTTCCGCATCTGGCTTTTCCCCATAGTTTACCTCCTCGAGCGGAGACGCAGAAGCAGGCGGGCCCCGGGTCGACGGTCTACGAGACGGAGTATAATAAGACGCATGATACGGTTCATATTACGACGCATCATCAACCTCATCCTCCAGGGCCTCTGGGGACTCCGGCCGGCGACAAGCGAAAGCAGCAACGGGTCGGGCGGGCACATCATAACTCCACAATCTACAGCCGCCGCGGCCATCGCTAGTGCTGCCACTGACGATGTCCCGGTCCCCGAAGACGCGTGGGTGACAGCGCATAACACCAACGTCCTCAACAGCCCCCTATACCACATACCCGAGGAGGTGCTACTGCAGATCACAGAGTCGCTCGACACCCCGGCCCTCTACTGCTTCCGCCAGAGCTGCCGGCGCGGGCTGCGCCTCGTCGCCCCGGACGTCGTGACCGCTAACGCGCCGGCGCCGTGGGAGGTCGAGACGAGCTGCGGCAGGGCCAGCGGCGGCGGTGGCGGCGGCGGCGGCATCCGCGG